AGGAAGGGGGGGGGGGGAAGGGTGCTTAAAATTAAAGGGATCAAGTGCTTTGTCAGGGCTTGAGAAAATATTTCCATGCTAACGAGCATTCCCACAAATAAGTTGCTTGATTTGCGCTGGCCCCCGTTAATAACGGCTCCCCTGAAATGCACACGCTGGAGTCGCACTGTAAGAGCATCAAGGGAGATTAAATAACCAGGCACAAAATCGTGAGGGGCAAGGTCCCGCCGCCACCAGCGAGGTCCTCCCACTTGTGGAAACGTGACGGCAAGGATTCCAGAGCGCCCCTCGCTTCGAGCGGCACAGGGCCGGACGCGTGTCTCCCCTTCCCCGGCCCCCGGGATCCCAACCCAAAGAGCACGCACAGGGAGCTGCCTCCGTGGGTAGGGTCGACCCTGACACCGTTTCACAAAGAGGGAGAACCCAGCAGAGCCCTTTCGTGGCCATTTCAAATGAACGCCCGTGGAAACGATATTTGTGACTGAGAATCCCACCGCAGCTTCCTACTTGGGCCTGGGAACCAGCCGGGCCATGGCTTGGAAACACAGGAAACCGACCAGCCTCATTTCAGAGCAGGGCGCAAAAGGAGCCTTGTCGATGCGGAATGCCAAGTTCAGGCTGCAGTCTGCCTCCAACGGCCAGTGTTTCCAGCGTGTGTCCTGGAGAGCGTCACAGGCCAGACCTCGGGCCCGGGTGCCCTCTGCATCCCCGGCATAGCTCACCCCTCTGATAGCTGATCTGTGAGGAGAATTTCTAAAGCACTTGCCACTGGGTAACTCCGCTCCCAGTTCAGTGAATCGTAAGACACCCAGGCCAGCGCTGCACTCGAGTGGAAAGTCGGTTTAAGGTCCACAACACCAGCGGTATGAAATACGTAGCTGGAGCTGAGTTTGGTGCTGTCTTCACAGAGGGAGGCTGACAGGAGCAAACACTCCAGTCAGCTTCCCTTCCTCCTCGCGACTGCCAGGAGCACCGGCACTCACCGGAGCCACCCTCAGCGTTTGATTTAGCAGGTCTGAACTAGACCCGCTAAATGGATCGCCAGAAGAATCGACCTTCGGCATGGCAAGTGCGGATAGCATCTTCACCAGAAGCAGAGCTGAGCTAAGGATACGCGTTCTCAAAAATCCCACCACCGCTACTTCAAAGCACGTTTGATTTTCTCCCTCCCCGTCCTAGTGCGGCGATCGCTCCGCACTCAGGCAGCGGGGCGATGGGTTGGACAGACCATTGGGACTAGCGGAAACCGATCCATCAATAAGAAACAGCATCGCTGCTGAAGAATCTGATGTTTTTCCAAGTGATCAGAATGACATTAACCCCATGAGCTACCAACGCAGGGCAAGGAATTTGCTGCAGGGTGATGTTCACCGTGCCAGCACTTCACTTAGGCTGCTATCCGGCTGATGCCAACCACAGGCTCGCCCAGGGACAGGACTCTGCTGAGGCCCCGTGGGAGCCGCCCCGTTCCCACTCACCTTGGCCGTGATTGGAGCTCTGCGTCAGCGCGTTGGTGATGTTGGGCAGCTCGTTGCCGTAATTCCCGTCCTCCAGCGGGCACACGTCCATGTCGCCCCACTTCCGGAGCTGCCGGAGCCAGCAGGACTTCTCCTCCAGCTTGCAGTGCGGGTTCAGCACCACGCACACCCACAGGGCCCCTGCGCAGAGAGAAAGCGACACAAACCCACACACGCATGGCAAAAGGCTTCAGCGTGATCGGACCGCGGCCAGCTGGCTTCGCGCGCACCCCCAGCCCTCTGCCTGCCGTGAAAGCTGGGAAGGTTTCTAAAGCCCCCACCGCCCCCGAAGGGCCCCTAGGAAGCGTAAAGCAAGTTAAGCACAACTCCGTAATGAAGCTAACCTACAATCTCAAGAGGTTGAGGACCTGTCTGTTGGTTTGACAGGACTGCTCCCTGCCAGGACCTCCCCCACCGTCCCCGGCTTGAACTACGCATGGACGCAAGCTCAGAAACGCCCCGGCAAGCAGGCAAGTCAGCCTCTCCCCAGACTAACCCGATGCTGATCCTGCGCCTCCCCCCCGGGTTCCCATTCAAAGCAGAATTTCTGTTGCCACCGTTCTTTGGGCTGTTGGCATCCGGCTGCTTGCAGAGATTTGATTTCCTTTGGGTCCAGTCCCCCCGAGTCCCCAGGCTGCAGCAGAGACGTTGGGAGTTTGTGTCCTGGGGGAAGCTGGACCCAGAGTGCAGGCTGACAGGCACCCCCCCTTGCCTAGCCCAGGGGAGGAGCATGACCCAGGACGGTGACGGCTGGCAGCAGCGCTCTGGATCGGCTGAGGGGCTCACTGCGAGAGAGCCGTCTGCTCTCCTTCCTCCGTGCCCAGCCCGCCTGTTCCCACGCACGAAGGCGAATTTCACACCCTCTCCTTTCCAACCACCTCTGGTCAGCGGCGCACAGCGGCCTGCGTCGGGTCCTGGAGGCACCCACCAACTCAGCTAGGGATGTAAAATCCCATCGAATCGGTTAACTAGCTACATGTTACGGTTAACCGGTTAGCCACTTAAATGGGAGCCCGGGGGCTAGGGAGCTGCTGGGCCGGGCTGCCGGATAATGGGATCTCCGCGTTCTCCGGTCCTGGGCCAGGTAACAGGTTAACCATTCACATCCCGTGTCCACCCGGCTTTCGTAAATTACAGCGTTCACCATTCTCGCTCACTCTGGTTCCGTCTCGGCAGAGAATCAGCTCTAGCATCCCACGGCACATGGTGGGTTCAAAAGAACCGTCAGGAAAGGGAGCAGAGAAATCTCTACGAACGGCTGATACTGGAAGCTGGAATTGTTCTAAATATAATCACCGCTTTCATGGAGAAACGACACCCCGGAAATCTGCCACGTGCGTTCTCCCGCCACTTGTCGGCTTATCCTGGCAAAACGCTAGGGGGACCGAGGGGACACGCTCTGGGTTTTAACGTGAAAAGTTGCCTGCCGGAGGCGTCAGGAAGAGAGGAGGCAGAAGCGGGGTTGGTATTTCCCGATGCCTCTCGCTGAGAGGCAGCATCTTAGAAAGGATCATTTGAAACGCTCCCTCTAACAAGTCATGGAAAAGATTCCAAAGAATATTTTGCGTGTTTCCTGATCAGACTGATCCAGCGACAGAGGCGAAATCCATCGCTAAAACAAAGAGATTCGAGTCCTTTAATGGAAAATCGCAGGGCAACCGTCGCTACGAAGTCACGTCTGACCCCTCCGGGATACAGTCCTGTCGTTACCAGCGCTGCTACCGTCTCGGTGACAACAGGCTTGGAAAGACACGGGCACCTGGGCTCGAACGAAACGCTCTGTACGCGCTACGCGGCTCAGCAGCATTTCTGGCGCAGGGATGAGCATGGGAGCTAAGTGTGGAAAATCGCAGGGCAACCGTCGCTACGAAGTCACGTCTGACCCCTCCGGGATACAGTCCTGTCGTTACCAGCGCTGCTACCGTCTCGGTGACAACAGGCTTGGAAAGACACGGGCACCTGGGCTCGAACGAAACGCTCTGTACGCGCTACGCGGCTCAGCAGCATTTCTGGCGCAGGGATGAGCATGGGAGCTAAGTGCCCGGACTGGGCCGCCGGCTGGCCAAGCCACGACGAGGCCCGCCCGGG